ACATGCAAGTTCGACACTTACGTTATTCGTTTAAGGTGACCAACAGTCTGTAACGATCGTCTTAACGATATAGACGTGAGTATCTATTGTTAATATTCATAAACAGTGGCCCTACAATGTAATTTACAAAAATTGTTGGGTTTTTTGTTTTTGTATTCTTTGTTACTAAAGTGAGCCTGATGAGGTTGGTGTTAAGACCAACGAGACGTTGCTCAAACTAACACCTGGTTTTTTGGAGTTTTCATTCGTACTCCCAAAATTAGCTCTTACTGATCGTGTGCTTAGGCACTGACCCTCAAGTCATTACCAAGCAGTTTAGTTCATGAAAATAATTTTACTATGAAATTAGACATGTTATTCGATGTAGCACATGAAGATGTTTTAGATAATATAAGTGATAAGCAGAAAGCATTTCTCCGAGATCAAAGATCAATAGAACTAAAATTATATATAGGAGATTTTATTTACGATATAACTTTAGACACAGATGAGGGTACAGTAAAGTTTTAAAATAAATTAATTTAGTTAATTATTTCAATTTCATTTCAAATAACATTACTTTTCAGATATTGTGAACCATGTAATCTCTCCTAGTCTTGAAGTGCCTTTTGATAATATGCCTGATAGTAATATGCTTTCTGGTTTACAGCGAACAAACTTAAATCTTACGGTAGTTCTTGAAAAGTTGATTCTTGATGAGATGACTGATAAACATGGTAAAATATTTTTTGATATTATTTTTTACTTTAATATTTTTGTAGTATCTTTGTTTTTGAGGATGTATTACTCAAATATTTGTCTTTTTTTTTGAACTTGTTATTCAAACAAAAAATTGAAAGCTAATGAATCTTTCAAATTCAGAAAGCTAATACAATTGTAAATATTGGAAAGTATAATTATTATTTATATTTTTCAAGGCTTGAATTATATAGTAAATTCGAAAAATTAAATGATTCATATTTAAATCACATATTAACTACTTGAATTACATATAACTTGAAATCCCTATGTGAAAGCTAATACAATGAGTTATCAATATTTTCTAGAATCAGATGAATTAGCCTAGAGCTTTCAACAATCTTCGTTAGATTCATCAAGTGAACCAAATTCACAACAAAGCACTGCTTCAAAATTGATTTCAAAAGGACGTTATTACGAAAAAAAAGGTGTTTGAGGTAGTATTGACATAATGGCAGAAGATGTTGTAGCCGTTTTGGATGCTTGTAGAATATCCTACAGACATTCTATTTTATTGATAGGAATAATTGCTAATACTTTGGGCATTGATACTCAAACTGTAATTTTGATTAAAAGTTCATTCAATCGAGCTCGACTCGATGTTAGGCAAAAAAAAAGCAGAGAAGTTGAAATACGCATTTGATTCAAATTTAGAAGCAGCTGTTATTCACTGGGATGAAAAAATAATACCCGACGCTTGGACTCTTATAAAAGTTGACCGCTTACCTATTCTTGTTACAAATGGTGAATCGGAAAAGATTTTGAATATACCAGCACTTCCTGATGGAAAAGGTTCTACACAAGCTAATGCTATTTATGAAACTTTGAATAATTGGGGTCTATTGGTCAAAGTAAAGGCTTTTTGCTGCGATACCACGAATGGAAATTTGGGTAATGTAAATGGCGCTGGAATTATTCGTGAGCATTTTCTTGACAGAAATTTGTTGTATCTACTTTATCGACACCATATTTACGAAGTTATCTTGGCATCCGTCTTTTAACTAAAATTGCCTGGAACTAAAAGTCCAGATGTTCCATTATTTAAAAAATTTCATGATCAGTGGCTCGATTTAGATCCAACAAAATATGATATTACTGATAAACTCAAAGATTCATCATTACTTTAACAAAAAAATGAAATAATTATTTTTCTTCAAATCTGTTTGAAAGAGCTTTAACATGGAGATGATTATAAGGAGCTGCTTGAACTATAATTGATCTTCTTAGAAGAACCTTAATCATTCAAAATTCGTAAACCGGGAGCATACCATCATGCTAGGTGTATGTCAAAAGCGATTTACTCGATAAAAATATTTTTTTTTTCGTAAAACCTTCAAAGTCAATGCTTCAGAATTGAAAAAATTATATGTCTGTATATTTTTTGTTTTTATCTACGTGAAAGCCTGGTTTTTATCTCTAAATTCGGTGCAAGCTCCGAAAAATGATTTGGATTTTATTAAAAAGCTCCATAATTATACTGCAGTCGATCCTTTGGTATCTAATTCTGCCTTACAAAAAATCACGAGGCACACATTTAACCACGGAAGCAAGTGCCATTTCATTTTTCGATGAGGATATATCTTTTGAAATAAAAGTTCGAATGATTTTAACATTAGAAAAAGATGTAGGAAATGATGATTTTATTTCGAAAAAATATATAATCCATTCTGATATAGATTTAGAAAATTTGAAAAATGTTGAATCGGATTACTTTATTAATTGGCAATCATTACGTTTTTTTTATAGATTTGATATAAATAGAATCTTTTTGAAAACCAACTGTAAAACTTGGTCTTATAACGTTGATTATTTGAAAGGTTTAGAAATCGTAAAAAATTTACGAGTCGTTAATGATGCAGCTGAAAAAGCAGTTACACTGGCTCAAGGTTATATGAATATCACAAAAAATGAAGATCAAAAATTATTTTGGTTCAAAATGTAAGCAAATTTCGTAGAGAATTTGATAATTCAAAAAAGGAAACAATAGTAAAAAATATAAATTGGCAATCATTACGTTTTTTTGATAGATTTTGAATTAAACTTTTTGAAAACCGACTGTAAAACTTGATCTGATAACTTGGATTATTTGAAAGATTTAGAAATCGTAAAAAATTTACGAGTCGTTAATGATGCAGCTGAAAGAGCAGTCAAACTTGCTCAAGATTATATGAATATCACAAAGAATGAAGATCAAAAATTATTATTGGTTCAAAATGTAAACAAATTTCGTAGAGAATTTGATAATTCAAAAAGGGAAACAATAGTAAAAAAACTGAAAAAATCAAAAAAAAATGAAACTTNATTAAAAGGTAAAAAATATTATATCAGTGGAAATCGTTGGTACTAATGCGAAGATCATAGTAACAATTGATTTTTTATTTTTTAAGTTTCAAATTTTTTTCTAACATAAACAAATATTTCATCTGTCAATTACAAGCAACGCATACTACATTTTATCCGTTTTTGAGCTTGCCAGCTCTTGCAAATCCCTTTTCTCTGCAAAATGATTGTTAACTGGCCGGTAAGGGCCGTTGAAGACCTTTTAACACTATGTTATCAAACTGCAGGTTGGACAGAAGTAGAAAATTAGATTCTACGTTGAATGTCACTGTAAACTCGCTGCTTTTATTTGGTTACGAAAGTTTTATCGAGCTTTCAATGCAAAAAATCATTGAAAAACGGTCGTTTATCAAAATCAATGACCTTTTCACGCTATTTGATGTGAATGAAGGTTAAAAATAAGTGAAAATTTGAGAACTATGATAAATTTCACTCGAAGAATACTATTTTCGTTCATTTACGAGAGTGAAAACAAGCTCACAGGGCTTTTTTATATGAAAAATCGTTCAACAAAGGCCGTTTAACGACGTAAAAGACTTTTTTACGCTATCTGGTGCACTCTAAGGTTAAAATAAGTGAAAATTCAGATTCTACAACAAATTTTACATGAAAAATGTTTGTCTTCTAAATTGTTAAAGGTCAATTTTAAGCAATCTTATTTAAGAAAGTATATTATATCAAAAATTCAGGGGTCATTTTTCCACCAAATAGATGGTTTTTAGGGGGCTGCACAGCAAAAAAAAAAGATGTTGGTAAATAAGGGGCACCCTATTATGCATTGACAGAAACTTTAACCATTACCCTAATTTTTTTTCAACTTACTTTTAGCAGAATTACTTAGAAAATTCCAAAAGTAATGAATTTTTTTATAACGTTGTGTTCAGTAACTATCCATTTTGTTTTCAGATTTTTGCAAGGCTAATGGTTTTATAAATGCCTATCTACAACTTCATTCTAACTTCACCACACTTCCTTTCAATTCATAGTAAATTTAAGCAATGCTTATAATGTTTGACGTAAAACAAATTTTAAAATAAATACATAAGCAGTGTTTTATCAATTGGTAAGGATAAAATGTACACTTTTAAATGTAGTAATGTATACGATAATGGGTACCTCATAATCCTGTTACTTAAGCTTTTAAAAACTTTGACTCTCAAATCCGTCATCTGGTTTCTAAAGAAAGGTTTAAAAATTTCATTAATATTTACTAAAAACAGCTAGAAATTTTGTTGGTAGTATTGTCCTGCTAACATTCGTTAAAGAATCTCCCATTTATCTTTTAAGTATAATATTTTAGTTTCTGTCTCAAATCAGTCATATGTATGAATGTACCCTAGGATTTTGTAAAAATCCATTAATTTTAGGAAATGTATTTTGAAGTTTCTCTAGTACTTAAACATTACGTACCGTATTTTCAAAATATCTCATAAACTCTGACAAATATATTGGCACCTATATGACCCATGACTTACTCCGCTATATTCTCTCTAAGAAATATTTTTTAAATGTTGGTTAGAACTCTTGATTCTCCTTACTAAAAGATACAGACACATCTTTTTTTTTGTGCTGGTGATGATTTTTTTGTAATGTTACAAAAAAATTAAATTTGTTTACATGCTTTTCAAAAAGTATTTAATTTTGTATAGTCCCTTAGTAAAAACTGAACCCCAATAAATTGAATCAAAGCGTTATCTTATCGAGTCACATGATTTGCTTGCTTAATAAATATAAATATAGTAAAGTTATTAGCTCTTGTACGATATTGATAAACATATTTTATTTGCTTTATGAATCTGATCTTAGCTCTTATTATCATAAGTAATTATTTCCCTTTTTAATAATGCATCCAAACAATTCTATTTCTTTTAAAATTCTAATCGAAGCTTATTATCTACAATGTGTTTTGTGTTATTTTTCAGGCGTTTTGAAACAAGTTTTGAACCTTTGTATTCCAGGAGCCTCTGTGAGGAAAATTTGCGAATCTGGAGATGAGCTCTTGGTTCAGGAAACTAACAAAGTATTTAAAAAAGAAAAAGATTTAAAGAAAGGAATTGCATTTCCCACGTGCATATCAGTAAATAATTGTATATGCCATTTTTCTCCGATAACAAGTGAACCTGACTTAATTTTAAAAGATGAAGATGTTGTCAAAATGTAAGTTTTAATTGCTTTAAGAAAATTATAATCGTGAATAATCTTAGTAAGGTATTAAGTAATGTTTAGGAAATTTTTTATTTTGTGTATGCATTTCCATTACTCGTCAGGCTATGGCATTGCATGCATTCAACATTATACAAATAGCTGATTCTAGATTACGAGTAGGCATCATTTAATTTGAGTAAAGTGAAGCATGAAGCATGAGGTTTGAGTTTTGATTTAAAGTGGTTGCAGAATTTATACTTATTAGTAAAACAGCTCCACAAAAAATCGCTTTCAGAAAACAGAGAACGTTAATGTAATGGCACAAGATTACAAATTACAAAGTTATTTAAATGCAGCATTGCAGCCGAAATTATAACTAGTGAAAAAATTTTAAAAAAAGTTTTGATTTCAAAGATAACTTTAAATACTAGAAATATATCTTTATTACCCTTTGTTCTATAGAAACTACGATTTCCTACAAAATTTCAGTATTATTATTTATGTTCTATGACCATTAATAATTAATTAATAAATCTGAAGGCCAAAGTTTCGATATAGTTGGTTTATATTAAAAAAAAAATTTATTCTCGCATGGTCAATTGTGTGTCACTTTAGCAAGATGCAAAAGTAAAAATGGATAATCCATTTAAATTTATTATGATAATGAATATGAATTAAATAATATTTACTCAGAAGAACTTTTATTTATTTGATAAAATTATATTGAATAAAAAAATTTTACTAAATAATTTCATAGTTAAATTTTTTTGAACATATAATCAAGATTCAAATGTAAAACAAAACGTTTCTTTTTCAAAGTAAAAAATTTAAACCAACAATTAAGTAGTTAACAACAAATTTTTCGGTCTAGTTCATGAACTGCTTGGGGAAAACAAAGGAAACGAAATAATTCAAGAAACTTTACCTAATTATTTAAAAAGCCTTTTCGTGAAAAGTAGGACTAACGGCGAGAACCAGGATTTAGATATTTAAATAGCTTATTAATTGCAGATTGCATTAGCATAATTTTTTCATGTACTAGAATGATACTTTTTTAATATGATTAATATACTTTTTGAAAATCTATTAAAAAGGCACTAGCAGGACATTAGCATTACTCCATTATTGGTATGGAAATTTGCTACATATATTTGATTCATGTGAATTGTACATGATCGTTTTACTTCAGATAACAAAGAAACGTAACGAATTTTAATGAAAGTTTATACCTATTGCTTAGAGCACTAGAAAGTTTTTTGAAAATTAAGACTTAACTATAATGAAGAAAAAATTAACTGATTATGTAGGGGGTTGGTAAAGGCTTAAGGCTTATTTTTTGGTTTTCGTTTAGAAGTTCAGCAAGGCAATGGGAAACTTATGGATTTTTTGGAAAATTGTGGTGCTCAATGAAGACCTTTGGACAAATGTTAAATTATAAAATTGTATTTTCAATAAAAAAATTGTTCCTCCGTAATGATTATTCTTGTAGATTTACTCAGTGCCTCTTATTTGCTTTTTTCCTTTTCAATTATCTATTACTAAACAGAATTTTTTTTTTTTTTTTTTCTTTATTAAAAGGTAAAAAATATTATATCAGTGGAAATCGTTGGTACTAATGCGAAGATCATAGTAACAATTGATTTTTTATTTTTTAAGTTTCAAATTTTTTTCTAACATAAACAAATATTTCATCTGTCAATTACAAGCAACGCATACTACATTTTATCCGTTTTTGAGCTTGCCAGCTCTTGCAAATCCCTTTTCTCTGCAAAATCATTGTTAACTGGCCGGTAAGGGCCGTTGAAGACCTTTTAACACTATGTTATCAAACTGCAGGTTGGACAGAAGTAGAAAATTAGATTCTACGTTGAATGTCACTGTAAACTCGCTGCTTTTATTTGGTTACGAAAGTTTTATCGAGCTTTCAATGCAAAAAATCATTGAAAAACGGTCGTTTATCAAAATCAATGACCTTTTCACGCTATTTGATGTGAATGAAGGTTAAAAATAAGTGAAAATTTGAGAACTAT